GCTTTTAATTGGGACTGTCAAGTGATGACTGTAAATTGATTGCAAATTAGATATGGCCAGCATTATATGAACAAAAGAAAGCATTAGGGTTGTGGTTACATCCTAATGCCAATTTAAACTGCAATTGGGAAAATGAACTTATGAATATCAGTGGGTAGGCTTTGGATGTGATTTCGAAAGGGTGCTTCAGCGCACATAGGATTGTGAATATAGCACCTGTCTTCAGCTCTGCAAAGCAGCCATGTCTTTTCCAAAGATCATATGACAATCACAGAGGACAACTTCACAATCCTAGGAAAAGATGCAGTTGCTTTAAAGAATTGCAGACAGGTGCTATTTTCATGTTCCGCCATGCTCTGAAGCACCTTCTCCAAATTATTTCTGAAGCACCGAACAACCACATTGGAGATAACAAGATTACCTTTGTGGTATTTGGGAAAGCACATTAGGGAACAACAGATGAAAAAGGATGCAAATGTCACTTTTGTTTTTAAGAAGAAGAGGGTTAAGGTAGGGCTAAAATCGGAATTGTAAGAGGCAACTATATGAATAGGCACTGTCTATTGACCAGGCATATATGTATTGTTATTCTGAATTATTCGTATAATTGTTATGTTATCAGATTTATATCTCACCTTTATTTTATAAAACTCAAGGTACCATATCTAATGCTCCACCCTCATATTTTCACCACAGCAACAACTCTGAGAGGTGGGTTTGCCAAAAGTGGATGACTAGCCCAAAGTCACCCAGGTGACCTTATTTGCCTTCAGCTACATGATAAGACCTGATCAGGAAATCAGCCTAAGATGCTGAAAGACAATCACTTCTCTTCCCCCCCCCCATTCCCCCCATCTACAAATGTGTCCCGACTGCCTAATAGAGCTATGTGTGAACTTTTGCAAATGAGGACTAAACTAGATGTAACATGGGAGGTTAATATATTCATGATTACAAGATATTCACACAGTTTCCAGAAAAGATTCAAGGCATTTTATGTTGTAAAGAAAGGAATACTTTAAATACCAAGCCATGAACATATGGTTATTTGGGGGACAGGTACATGGGTCTAGCAGTTTAGTGGCCTGGTCCAGGGAATAAGAGAAAATGTTCTGAGGTCCCTTGGATATAATAAGTCCTAGGAGAAGAGGGGACAAGGCAACAGATCATTTTAAACATGCATTCTGTATCAGGAAAAAAAAATCCTGGGAGAATTTCCCATTGTTGATTGAGTAAGAATGCAGAAGACTGCTGTCTTAATTTCCATATTTTAAAATTGCTGTCTAGATCCTAAACAGGAGGGAAGGCTAGAAATAACAAGGGTTGATAAATAGCTATTTGTTTAAGCCTTTCTCCAGTGGATATTTTGTATATATTATCTCACAGTGTGCATGAGGGTGATGAGATATTATTTAGGAGACTGCTATAAAACAGTTTTTGTACTATATCACAGCTAAGACATGAGCTTTCTCCCTCCCTCCCTCTGTCTCTCTCTCTCTCTCTCTCTCACACACACACACACACACACATCACATAACAACAGCAAGAACAACAACAATAATGATAATAATCCTCAAGAGTTTAAATGACTCAAATACTGAGATCATTGTCACCTTGGTTTTACACCCAGGAGAGGTAATAGGGAAATCTGATGCAGTGACTTTAAGAAATGCTCTGATTGGCAATGTCTTTCATTTGGGCAGACTTCTTTTTCTGGCACTGCATGTAATTTTAGAGGAAATCAATGAACAAAAAGAGGAGGAAGATGTAAGTTGGGAATCCGTCCATTCCTAGAGGAATCTCTTCCATGGCACACCTTCCTTGTGTGATTCCTATTGTTTCCTTCAGGGCATTTACCAAGGTCACAGCAAAATCACACAAAAATTGCAGTGTTTAACAGTGGTGAGGGTAAGGATATAATTTAGCCTGTTATCTGCATTAAGCAAATATACACAGAGAAGTGTAGTTTAGATCACGATTGGGCCACAGAGGTCCATTTCTCTTTTCTGGTGGATTGACCAGATTTCTGGTTCTCAACTGTCAATAGATACATGTATATTGATGCTGTTTTAACTGTTGGTTGAATAGAGTTTGATATAAGATGGGTGGCTATATAAATGTTTTAAACAAACAAACAAACAAACAAACTGCTTAACAAAAACAACAAATGAAACAGGTTCCTGTTCCCCAATTTAGGGCACTGGAATGAAGAAAACCAGTTCATAACTGAACTGTGAATTTACCCCTGGTACTGAAAATACATTCATGGGTTAAGGAATTCTTTAATTGTAAGCGTATGTCTGGCTATGAAGCTGCTATGTTTTCATTTGGGGCTGATTCATAGATTTTTGGGCTCTCACAAAAAATGAAGTGGAGTTTGTAAGTTTGAGGTCTGCTAATTCCTGTCTTAACCATAAGACATTAGAACAATGCAGGTGCTTTGAGAGGATGACAATTCTAGAGAGCTGGTTTGGGGTAGCAATTAAAGTGCTGGACCAGAACTGGGAAACCATATGTTCTAGTCCTTCCTTAGGCACAGAAACAAAGCAGATGGCTTTGGCTCAATCACCCTCTCAACCCAACTCACCTTTTCTGGGGAAAATAGGAGGAAGGAACTTATGTACATCACCCTGAGTTATAAAAAAAGAAAGGCAGGATATAAATATAATAGAGAGAGAAATAAAATCCCATAGAACAGAAGAGGTTTGAAGACACTTGAGTGAAATAGCCCTGGCTTACTTGAGTTTTCTGCTTGTCTTCTAGGTAAACTAATCCAGATTTTTGGAGGAAGAGAAGGCCATGCTGAACAGACAATGGTGACCATGCACTCCAGTATATTTGGAGGGTACTAGACTTCATATTGCTAAGCCAGAGGGTTCTATATTAGGCCATGCCCAGTGATATTACTTGGCAGTGGTACATCCTTCTACAGTCTGGACACACTCATGTTGTATGGAATTCACCAGCGGGCATGACCAATGACCATTGCTGAAAATTGTGTGGCTTAAAGTCCATATATCAGAAACAAACCAATATATAATATCAAAGGAACATGTACGTTGAAGACATGTCCATTCAAGTGAGAATTTGAAAGATACTGCTATTCGTGTGGCCAGATATAGAAGAAGGCAGGAAAAGAGATCTTTTGCATCTTTGATAGCAGGAAATTCAGCAGATCTGGTTTGCATGCTAAGCAATACCTGGAGAAATTCCCTTTTTGATGCAGCTTGTAATGTCTGGGAGTTTGGGATTCTTCTTTCCTCCATGAGACCACTGGTAATTCCTCCCCACAAGAAGAAGTCGGATAATCTGAACTTGGGTCTGTAGGTGCTTTAACATGACAGGACATTCTGCCCCTTGAGCCCCTGGTTACTCTCTTGTGCCTAGAATCCCCATCTGGTGGCCAAGGCTAATCACTAAGTGCCAAAATCAAATAATTATGGGAGGTTGCAAGGAAATATGATGATTCATTTATTCATCCTGTCCCTGTAAGTGACTTCATTGAAAGCAATTGATTCCCCCTCCCTTTTTTTAAAAAAAAATCTGTCTCCTGAAAAGCAAATAAAAGATAAACCGAATCTAGGACAAGAAACTGAAGCCCTTGGAAAGAGGGGAAAACAGATGACAATATTGCTCAAAACGTGGCAATATTGTAATCCCCAGGTTTGTGGCATGGCAACTTTTATAAGCCCTGGTGAGTGGAGTCCGGACTTGCGGGAGCTGCAGTCCAAACGATCTAGCGTGCAGCGGATTGCGTGCCCCGGGCTGAAGGGTACAGTAAAGCCCGAAACTTCCTTTGGACTCGTCCCGCTTTTCTTGGGGCTGACCCAGTGCGCGATCTCCGCCCGCGCGGCAGAGCAGCTGCCTCCCCACTCAGATGGACAAAGCTTTCCTTGCACTCAAGGAAGTTGGCGCAGGACTCGTCCCCGGACTCTTCCCGGCGGTCTTCTTAGGCTGGTCGGCCAGCCCTCTCTCCCCTCTCCCCCGCCGCCCGTTCCCTCTCCTGCTTGAGCCCCGCTTTTAAGCAGCGCCGACCCTCCCGCTCCCGTCCCTCCCGCTCCCTGGAAAGGCTCACCCGCAAAGGCTCTCAACATCTTCTTGATCTCCTCGTCGGTGAACAAGTCCGCCATCGCCATTCTTGCAACTGTTGGGGGAAAGAGTGGGAGAGAAAGTGCCAGGAAAGACTTCAGATGAGGGGGGAGGGGGAAAGTGCCCTTCTCCTCGGTTTTGCTCATATGACCAGAGCTGCAGTGCTGGGCGGGGATGGCACACCGGGATAAGGCTGGATCCGTGCCAGCCACCACCACCAGCAGCAGCAGCCGCCGAAGGGCCATGAGGCGCGCGCCGAGGACTGTTCTGCGGGTCGCTCGGCCAGGCGCACCACTTTGCAAAGCGACCAAGACCGGATCCGAGTCAAGACTTGTTTTGTCCGAGGGAATAGCCATCTGGGGCACGGAGAAGCCGGGCGGGGGGGGCAGTGCAGTAGAAAAAAGTGGTGGGCCAATACCAAAAAGGGCGCTATTTCTTAACCAGGGACAGTTATAAGATCCCTCCTATCTTTCATCCGAGCCCGGAAGATCCTTGCAAAGGATGGCGAGGTTCTTCCTTCCGTGCTACTCTGAGCCTGAATCTGCAAGGCAGAAGGAATTTGCCCAAGGTCACCCAGTGGGTGAACTCGGGACTCCCGCACTGTCGTAATAATCCTGCTCTCTCAGTTGTTAGTCCTAGAGAGGAGATAAACTGGCTTTTCCCATTCCTGCATGCAAGGCTATACTTCCCCACTCACCCTTTCTGTATTGTGAATTAAGTACTGTGTGTGTGTGTGTGTGTCTTGCATTTGGGCATCCTTGCATTGTGCAGACTTGCACAAGACTTGCATTGTGCAGTTGTTCCTGCCTCACTTCTTTGATAGGTCAGAAGATGTTGTCTTCCATTGGTAGCCCTTGCGTATTTTCCCACCTTTCAGGTTTTTAGAGGAAGGGCTCCTTCTAGCTCCCCCAACTCTGCCCAAAGATGCTTTGCCCCATCCCTGCTTCCCCTCCTTAATGGATTATTTCTAGTGATGGAAAGAAAATAGGTGGAAGTAGCTGTGGGAAAATGCAGGAAGGTTATAATGGCAGCATGACTGTAGAAAATGTTCACTCTTTAAACAATATTCAGCTATACGACAGGGCCCAATCAGGTTCAAATATCTATGTTTATTTCACCAGACCTTATGCTTTTTCTTCTCATTTGATCAAGACATCTATAACTTCAATATAAGATGTCTTCTTCCCTTCTACAGTTGGTTCTCCATATTAACTAAGACAGTATCCTCTTGGGACTGCTTATCTGGCCTATATTTTGAATGAACTACTGTAATACTTTAAAATAAGTTACAAATATCCCTTTCAATTTCATTTTAAGGACAACTTGAGTTTGCTCAACTTTTCTTTTTTTGGAAATTACATATGATCTTATTAAATATTCTCAGCAACTTATCACTTACACATAGGCTGAACAGGCAGCCCTTTTCTCATTGTTTCCAATGAGTTTGGTTCAGGATTTAGCCCAGTGTATTATCTTCTCTCTAATGTGTAACTATAGTCATCCATCTCAGAGTAAGACCCTTGCAGTCAATATGACTTACAGCTGAATAAACATGCCTAGTGTCCACTCTAAAACGTATTTCCAGTATATTCTTTTGCATCCTGAATATATATTTTACTCTGTTAGCCAGTTAAAACCATCTGTTTTGTTAAGTTCTTCTTCAACTTAACTGAGTAATAATAATTATAACAACAATTCATCCTTATTGTTTCTGCAGTTAGGGACTGTAAAATCAGGAGAAAACAAAAAGCCTTGAAGACTGTGCATTAGTCATAAAAAAAAGTGGGAATGGGAGGAGCAAGACATTTCAATAAATGTGCTTAACAATAAAAAGGGCAAAAATCAGTCAAAGAAAACCTGGGAAAAACCTTGATCTTAAAAAGCCATTTAAACAGGTACAAAGAAGTAACAGACCAATTTTCAATAAGAAGAAAATTACAACAGTAAGGGCTTGGGGAAATGTAATACATTATTCCTGCTGCTCTTTCTTGGAACAAAAGGGACATATCCCAGAAGAAAGAAGAGAACAAGTAGGCACAGTCAGACAGCAGATCAAAGATAAAGAGGCATAGAAATGATAAACAGATCAAAAGTATAGTTTGAAATATAATGCTCAAATAACAAAAGCCAGTGGAGCTTGTAAAACAAAGCTATATCCAGTCTAAATAGAAAGAACAAAAAAATAAAGTATGCTACGCCATTTGCTAAATGTTGATCATTCAGAGATCACTCAGGGGTGTCATAATTATATCCCTCTGCTTTGTATCTCAAAATTATCCTCAGAAAGTTTGCCAGGTGGCTAAAATGTTTTTAGTATTCTACTACTTGTGTGTGTGTGTGTATGGGGGGGGACTGGCAGAAGTAGTTAAATTGTTTAGC